ACTGCGACTGTCATAAACTTTAGTCAGTTGCCTGAATTTTCATGGCATGTGATCTTGGGAATGCTGCAACAGCCGTGTGAAAAATGGTCATAAGTCTCTTTTTTTCAGTGCAGTTACAACGTGGAATGGTCACTTGACTTATAACACTTCGTTTAGCGACCATTTAAAGTTACAGCGGCACTGAAAAAAGTGACTTAACAACCATTTTCCACATTTACGACAATTGGCAACTGATTCATATTCATGGTGGTTGCACTGTCCACATGATTCCCTTTTGTGACCTGACAAGCAAAGTCAACGGGGAAACTAGATTCACTTAACAAATATGTTACTAACTTAACAGCTGCAGTCACTTAACGGTGGCAAGAAAGGTAGTAAAATGGGGCAAAACTCACTTAGCAACCGTCACTGTGTGAGGCCTGCAGCCATCTTTTCTTTTGAATCTTTGGCCTGACACAGTTTCTATTATTCTGCTATGCATTTTTCTATTGTGGGAAAATGGGAGGGAGGATTGTATGGAGTTAGATGCTATGTAGCCATAACAAAATTCTTTTTATAAAACCAAGGTCATACTTTGTCACCTGACCGGAACTGGATGGGTGGAACTGCCAGCACGGCAGTGGGAGATTGGACCATGTGATGGACTTGTGGGTGTGGGGGAAAGATCTTGAACTTTCAACTGGGTGGGGAACACCGGGAAGCTTTCAGATTCGGGTTTTCCCAGATGTGCCAACGTGGTTCTCTTAATATATCGGACTCTGATTTACTTTTTGGATGCTATTGATGGAACCCTGACATCTCGCTTAGCAACAGATCTTCTGAGCTCAATTGTGGTCATAAGACCACCTGTGTGAGGGATATTGGGTTTTTACCCTTCGTGCTGTTTTTCGGATTTAGATCTGAAGGCCACCTTTATTGTACTTTGACAAGTCATCACCTGGTGCTCCTGAGATCAAAGTGATGAATTTTGACTTAGGATGTACGACAGATAGAGTTCCAGCTGCTCTTTCGATCTGTTTGCAGGTCTCTCAGCCTTAAGGAAGAAAAAACCGACAAGAATGGAGACTCTCAGAAAGCGGAAGGCAGCGGAGATGAAAAGAAGGATAAAGGAACAGAAGAGCAGAAAAATGGGTCATCTGGACGTTCGCGATCTGTTAAATCAGGTAATGAAAACCTACGGTGGAAAACTATGGTTTCAGGGCTGAGGGTGAGGCGATTCCTTCGTGTGAATGTCCTAGAGCAGTGTTTCTCAACCTTGGCAACTTGAAGATGTCCGGACTTCAACTCCCAGAATTCTGGGAATTGAAGTCCAGACATCTTCAAGTTGCCAAGGTTGAGAAACACTGTCCTAGAGCCAAGGTCTTCAAACTTGGCAACTTTTAAGACTTGTGGACTTCAACTCCCAGAATTCCCCAGCCAGCTATTCTGGGAGTTGAAGTCCACAAGTCTTAAAAGTTGCCAAGTTTGAAGACCTTGGCTCTAGGACAGTGTTTCTCAACCTTGGCAACTTGAAGATGTCTGGACTTCAAT